CCGGAGCGCACACGCACCGGTGAGTGGCCCGCGCGGGGTCGTCGCGGGGCCGGCGCCCCTGGGCGGAGCTCGGTCCCGGGGGGTCGGGGCCCCGGCGAGGCCGCGGGCTGGACTCGCGCGAGGCGGAGCGGCTGCCGGGGGAGCCGCGCGTCCCCTCCAGGGGCGGACTCACCGGGGCGCCCAACTGCGACCTTCGCAGCCTCGGCTTCCCCGCGTGGGAAGTGCCTGCCCGTTGCAGCGCGTTGGGACCCTGTGGTCAGAGACCCCGAGCGCCGGGGTGCGCGGAGAAGCGGGGGCCCCGGGGGCAACTTCCCGAGCTGTGCGCTCCCGCGCGCGCCCGGGCACCCGCCGGGGAGGACCGGCAGGTCGGGGGTCGTGGAGCGCTCACCTGAGGGCGCGGACGCGCGGGGCCCTCGCGGCCCCTCTGTCCTCAGAGCCGACAGAAACGGGTCGTCGGATGAATTTAAGCGTCAGCCAGGTCTGCGGAGGGCAGAGAGGGGAGGACGCGAATGGAGGGTGTGTGTGTGGGGGGGCGCTGTGCAGGGGTGACGGCCACCCGGCCGAGAGGGTGCCTTGTACCCCGGAGCCGAACACGGGGAAAGCGGCCGGTGACTCAATGGGACTTTGTTAGGACAGCACAGGGCGCAGCTGGCGCCGGCTTCGGGGGAGCGCGGCTCCCCGGTGACAGCCTGCTGTTTATCTGGCTTCCCGTTTCAACCATTGGGAGACCATTGGCTCGTTCAAATCCAGTGCCGAGACGCCTGCAGCCTCGTCCGCTCTGCAGCGTGTTGCTGGGTTTGCCTCTTGTGGCGTCGCGTTTCGGCGACACCGTGTCCCCTGCAACTCACTCACAAGGGGGGCAGCGCGTCTCACACAAAGAACCCTCCCAAGCAGGCGGAGCGTTCACTCTGGAGACCAACGATACGTGTGACTCGAGCCTGCTTATGATTTTTTTTTTTAATCCTGCTTTGAATTTGGGTTGGTGTGTCTTTGGGATTAAGCTGGGAAGGGGACAGGGACTGGCTGTGACTATGGATTTCCTCGCTGAGCTGAGATCTGGGGGGATGCACGCTTTCCCATGGGTGTCCAGGGGACGTCTGCAATCTGTGTGTCAGCCTGGAGGGTCCAAGAGCAAATAATTCCTTGCCCCAGCGCCTTGGTTGTCACGTCTGTAAAATGGAGCTGGGAAGGTAGTCTGGCTGGAGGAATAGAAAGGGCTTTTCCTAATGTGCTCTCTAGGGTATAGGATCTGTTTCCTGAACTTCCCAGGTTAAGAGGGAGCAGCCCCACTCCCAACACTCCTGGGGGCAGGTTTCACGTTCCCCTTTGTGTTGTAGAATTGGGATGTTTGTGCCTGTGCCTCATCTCCCTGTGAAAGCCTTTCAGCCAGTCCCTGTCTGACAGCCCATAACACCCAGCACATAGTAGGTACTTTATAAATGTTTGCTGAATTAATAAAGTGGGAAAAAAATCTAAGTATCACCCAGAGGCCTCCCACCCAATACAGGTGCCCTTTTATTCATTCTATAGGAGTTGCTCAATTTTCTCCACCCACTTTTTTCCCCTTCAAAGTGGGCCATAGTGAGGGAGATTTGCCCGCAGGGGGGCAAGCTTTAAGTGTTTGGGCCTTTTGTGGGATCTCCTTGGGGATCCTGGGGAAACTGAAAACAGGAACTGTTCTTCCTTCCTCCCCTAATCCGGCCCCTCCTGAGTCGCTGTGAGCCGCTGGTGTCAGCTCTGCTTTGGCTCAGGAGAAAAGAGTGACCTAGTGGAGACACACGTCCTGTCCGTCTTGTAAAATTTGTCTCTTCAGCTTTTATTTTCAATCAGTGTCACTTCCCTCTTCCTTTAAAGGTCTTTTGAATTCTTAAAGGGGTTGGCCTTTAGGAAAACTAGAATATCAAAATCACAAAGACCCCACCCCTCCCAACCTGTGCTCTGTCCCCCTGCCCTTGACAGACAAGCATCCGGGCTACAGAAGTGACGAATGGGGCTCAAAGCCACACAGCTGGGCCCTCAGGAGCCGGGCTACAACGCAGGTCTCTGGCTCCCCGTCCAGGGCCCATGCCCGTTCAGCAGGGCACCGCCTTGCTGTCTCCCTGGTGCTTCCATGCACAGGTCTCGGCGGATGCCACATAGCTGTTGGCAAGAGAGAGGCACAGAAAGAGTTATCTCTGTAGTGGAACTCACTACAGCGCTGAGGCTGGGAACACGGCGAGCTCAGAAATGTGGCAATACTTGGCAAACGCTTCATCTTTCTGGCCCCTCGTCACAAAACAATAATTAAAAACACTTTTAGTGCCTTCTTCAACTTAAACCACCCCCCATCCCCCACCCCCAACTTTTCAAGTGAAAACCACCCTGTTCAGTAAGCAGCTTCTTGGGTCTAATCTGTCCTCTCCATCTCCAAGGAAGGCTGACTCAGGCCGAGTTCCTCTGAGGGGCCTGGGGTTTTGTTTCCCAGCTTCCGGTGACTCTGAGCCAGGAAGGGAGGCAGGATGTCGGAGACCCAGGCCCCATGGACCGGCCGGTGGATGTGGTTCTGCTTCTTACCCACGTCCTGTGCAAGCCACACCCCCATTGGCATCAAATCTGTCTGCTCTGCTTAATCATAATATAAGATGTGCTCATATGCACGAGAAACTAAAGGTGCTGGTGCCCAGGCCACGGGTCACCAATCACAGATATTTCCACTTCAAAGGACTGAGACTGTTCAGATGCGCAGTCTGGCTCTTCTGAAAGTGTTCACAAATGGGGGTGTTGTCGCAATTTCCTTCTCAGATCATTCATTGCTGGTCTGGAGAAACACAGCCGGGTGTATGTGTGTGTGTGTGTGTGTGTGTGTGTGTGTGTGTGTGTGTGTTGATCTTGCCCTGAGACTTTGCTGAATTTGTTTTTTTAGCTGTAGAACTAATAGGCTTTTTGTGTGTATGGATTCTTTGGGATTTTCTACATATAGGATCGTGTCAGCTGTGAATAGATATAATTTTACACCTTCTTTTCCAATCCAGGTGCCTTTTATTTCTTTTTCTTGCCTGATTGCTGTGGCCAGGACGTCCAGTGCTGTGTTGAATAGCAGTGGTGAGGGTGGGCACCTTGTCTTGTTCCTGATCTTACAGGAAAAGCGTTCAGGCGCTCACCATTGATTTCTTTGCTGTGGGTTTGTCATAAACGCCCTTTATCATGTTGAGGAAATTCCCTTTTATTCCCAGTTTTCTAAGTGTTTTTATCATGAAAGGGTGTTAGATTTTGTCAACTGATTCTTTTTTTTCTTTGTCAAGTGACATAATCATGTGTTTTGGTGCGTTATGTTGATTGGTTAGCTTCTGTTGAATTTCCCTTATACTCCTGGGACAAATCCCTCTGAAAGCTTTTTAATTTTTTTAATCTACAAGGTTTCCTTTCTTTTATTTAAAAGAACTGGAGAAAATTTGATGAAGTGCTAACATTTTACCCAGGTTTATTGCATTTTTCTTTATAGTTGCTGTACTTCAAACATTTAAAATTGTTTATTGTGGTAAAATACACATAACATAAAATTGACCATTTTAACCCTTCAGTGGCATTAAGCGCATTCACGTTGTCGTATAACCATGATCACCATCCACCTCCAGAACTTTTTTAAAGTTCCCAAACTTGGAAAGTTTGAAGTTTAGTCTCCCAAACTAAAGCTGTGTCCCCATTAGACAGTAAGTCCCAATTCTCCACCCCAACCCCTGGCATCCACCTTCTGCTTCCGGTCTCTGTGAATTTCTGAAAACTTTGCAACTGCTAGAAAAGTCAGGAGTTTGAGGCATGGAAGATTTAAAGGACCTCACTGCCACAGGGAACATTCTGGAAGGACTTTGACTCGGAGCTTTGTGACTTGCAGTCCCTGGACAGCAGCTCCATGTTGGAGGCGTCTGGCCCAGATGCAGAGATAAGGGGACTCCTGGTGTCCTGGGCACAGAGGTAGCAGCGCCGTCTCACGTGAGCCTGGTTTTCTCCAGCTCAGTGGTTCCCCATCATGGCTGCACATTAGAACTGCCTTAGGGAGCTTCTAAAAGTGATGGGTTCCTGGGCCCACCCCAGAGACTCAGCCTCATTTGGTGTGGAGCTCAGCTTCAGGAGCTGTTGTTTTTACAGCTCCCTGTGTGACTCAGCTGCACCGCCAGGCTCACAACGGCTCCTTGGTGGAGCTGACTTACCGCCCCCCCCAGCCCTCGGTGGGTCAGAGCTTTCAGCGATGCAATTCCCTCCCCATCTGGCCAGTAATAGTCACCCACTTTACGGCCCTTCCCTGATTTTAAGATCCATTTGGAAATGGAGTAAGTGCCAACTTCTGTAGACTCCAACCTCCAGAGTTGGAAAGAGCCTTACCTGCCAGGTAGCCTACTTTTTTCTTTTTTCAGTTAGCTGGGCCCTTTCTAAACCACCCCCACCAGGGGTCATCCAGCTGGGACACCTCTGTTGCTAGGGAACTCCTAACAACAGGGTGTCGAAATCGCCTGGTCCGCGTTTGCACAGCTCTGTCTTTCAGAATTCCTCCTGGCATTAGTCTGCCTCGGGTGTGGCTTCCCCACATGGGTGAACCGTCCCAAAAGGCGAGTGGGCTTCACCACAACGCATCCCCATGGAGAGTGGGGGTGTTCAAAGTAAGTGTGATGGCCTCGCACAGCGACAGCCGTGCAGTATTTGGACAAGGCGACCCTACTTGCCTTTTCATCTCTGCTCTCAGCAGCCGTTTCCTTCAGAGAGTCTTTATTGCCTGTGTTCTGGGAAGATGTCTGATGTAAGAGTGAGAATTTGGACCATGAAGTGAGCCAGACTGGGAGTCAAGGTTCAGATCTTCCCTCGGCGTGTAAAGTCCTGAGCTCAGGGTGAGCAGCCAGCAAACATTAGCAGTTGAAATCCTGTTCCTAGTGTCTACGTCCTTGGTGCATGTGACCTGAGGCAGCCGCCGACCCTCTTGGAGACTCAGTTTCTCCCCCAGGGAAGGCAGAATGAAAAACCTTACTCATAAGACCGTGTTGCCCCACC